ATCGTTATCATGATCATTGTCATTATTCTCATTATCATTACTATCATTATTATTTTCCTCATTATCATTACAATCATTATAATTTTCATATTCATCATTACTGTAATTATCATTAATGTCATTATCATTGTTATCTCCCTTACTGTTATTAATGTTATTTTCATTATCATTATATCATCAACGTTATTATCATTATCATTATGATCACTACTACTGCTACCATTATTATTATCAGTGTTGTCATTATTATTTCATCACTATTATTATCATCATTACTATCATCAATGTAGTAGTAGTATCACTATTGCTACTAATATGACTGTCAGCAATATCATCATCATTATATATCATTGTCATCTTCATCATTTCTGATTTCATTGTTACAGTTGCTGCCTTTATGAGCTTATTATGCCTTCATCAACATTCCCCTCCGTCACTGGATCTGCTTCTTCGTCGTCTCGCTTTCAGTCGCCTCCGGAGCCGCAGCGGGACGAAGGCCGACGCTCGCGGCGCACGGCGAGGCGGCCGAGATTCTGGTCGGCGCTCGAGTGGCCACGTCGACGAGAGGGCGACGGCGAGGGAGAAGGAGAAGAAGAGAGGGAGAGAAGGAGAGAGGGAGAGGGAGAAAATGAGAAGGAGAGAAGGAAAGAGGGAAAGGGAGAGAGAGAGAGAGAGAGAGAGAGAGAGAGAGAGAGAGAGAGAGAGAGAGAGAGAGAGAGAGAGAGAGAGAGAGAGAGAGAGAGAGAGAGAGAGCACTTATGCTTTTTGAAATATTCATGTATTCATTTTCTTCTGCTTTTAGTATAACTAGCAAACGAGATCCCTGTTCGCATATGACGTCATCTGAGTCCTCTTCACCAGGGTCAGGTCAGGTCACGAGAGCCGTGTGGGTCGCGAGTTCCTGACCCCGGATATCGGTCATGTCCGCTAATTGGCCTTGGGAAACAGGTGCTCGGGTACATGCGCTGCCGTCCGTTTACAAATTGTCTGTGTAATATAGCCGTTAGATATTAGAGATGTATATACATGCAGACTCGAGGCCAAGGGGATTCGGTTTGAGGTTTCCAAATGTTTGTCCTTCCATACTGGAAATTTTAGCGATATTATATTATGCATCAGAATAACGTTCTGGATGTGTACTTTTTGCTGAGACGTCTCAGTCCAATTGGATCTGGCATTTGCTGTTCATTAAAGGCAGTTTTCTATTCTTCAGATACTGCGTTTCGATATCCGTGGCGTTCGAATCTAAAATGTATCAGATATGTAAAAACCCTCTTCTGCGTGAGGACGAGGCTGCCGCGGCACGGACGGGCGAGGCAGACTGCGTGGCGCCTGGTCGCGTGTTGGGTCTCTCTGCTGTCGTGTTTTTATTACATGTTTAGGCATAACTTTTTCTCTAATTTGGCTTAACAGTACGTCGGCCTTATGTTTTGCCTATCAGCTCATGGGCGGAGCCAGGGCCCCACGCCAACGCACAGAAATACGTTGCGGGAAATTTGAATAGCAGACCAAGTGTATTAATGCTTTTATAAATTTCTTTATTTCTCTGTCTATACATCTACACTTGCGCGCACACACACACATGTATGTATGTGTGTGTTTATATGTGTGTGTGTGTGTGTATTCATATATATATATATATATATATATATGTATATATATATATATATATTCGCATAGAGCTACATATATATATATATATATATATATATATATATATATATATATATATTCATATATATATTCATATAATTGTGTGTGTGTGTGTATTCATATATAGCTACATATATATATATATATATATATATATATATATATATATATATATATATATATATATATATATTTAATATATATTCATATATATATGTGTGTGAATTCATATATAGCTACACACACACACACACACACACACACACACACACACACACACACACACACACACACATATATATATATATATATATATATATATATATATATTCGTATATAGCTACACACACACACACACACACACACACACACACACACACACACACACACACACACACACACACACACACACACACACACACACACACACACACACACACACACACACACACACATATATATATATATATATATATATATATATATATATATATAAACATATTATATACATATGTATACATATATATACATATATATATATATACATATATATATATATATATATATATATAAACATATATATACATATATATATATATATATATATATATATATATATATATATATATATATATATATATATATATATATATATATATATATATATATATATATATATATATATATATATATATATATATATATATATATATATATATATATATATATGTATACATATATATATATATTCGTATATAGCTACACATATATATATATATATATATATATAATATAT